TCCCCCCCATGTGTCCCCGTGTCGCCCCATGTGTCCCCCCATGTCCTCCCCATGTGTCCCCCGTGTGTCCCCATGTGTCCCCCCATGTCCTCCCCGTGTGTCCCCATCTGTCTCCATGTGTCCCCGTGTGTCCCCATGTGTCCCCGTGTCCCCCCCATGTGTCCCTGTGTCCCCCCATGTGTCCCCCCATGTCCCCCCGTGTGTCCCCGGTGTCCCCACAGGGGATCAGATCGTCAGTGCCACCGTCTACTTTGACAACCTGCAGTCGGGGGAGGTGGCGCAGCTGCTGCAGAGCGTGGGCCACCACACGCTGGGGCTGCGGCTGCAGCGCCGCGCTGACCGCTCGCCCCCGGCCGGACACGGCTGCGGCCAGCGCGACCCCGCGCCCGGCAGCCCCGAGGTCGTGCTGGTGAGTGGGGGAGGGACAGGGGGAGGGTGGGGAGGATGAGGAGGATGAAGATAAGGATGAGGAGGATGAGGAGGATGAGGAGGATGAGGAGGATGAAGATGAGGAGCATGAGGATGAGGGGGAGGATGAAGATAAGGATGACGAGGATGAGAAGATAAGGATGAGGAGGATGAGGATGAGGGGGAGGATGAAGATAAGGATGACGAGGATGAGGAGGATGAGGAGGATGAAGATAAGGATGAGGAGGATGAGGATGAGGGGGAGGATGAAGATGAGGAGGATGAGGATGAGGGGGAGGATGAAGATAAGGATGAGGAGGAAGATGTGGGGAGGATGAGGATGAGGAGTACAAGAACAGTGGGGAGGATGAGGAGGATGAGGATGAGGAGGATGAGAATGGTGGAGAGGATGAGGATGAGGATGAGGGAGAGGATGAAGATGAGGAGGATGGGGACGAAGATGTGGGGAGGATGAGGAGTACGAGAACAGTGGGGAGGATGATGAGGAGGATGAGGAGGATGAGGATGAGGATGAGGAGGGAGATGTGGGGAGGGTGAGGATGAGGAAGATGAGGATGAAGATGAGGAGGATGATGAGGATGAGAACAGTGGGGAGGATGAGGATGAAGATGAGGAGGATGAGGATGAGGAGGGAGGATGAAGATGAGGAGGGAGATGTGGGGAGGATGAGGAGGATGGGGAGGAAGATGTGGGGAGGATGAGGATGAGATGAGGATGAGGATGAGGGAGATGTGGGGAGGGTGAGGATGAAGATGAGGAGGATGAGGATGGGGAGGAAGATGTGGAGAGGATGAGGATGGAGTACGAGAACGGTGGGGAGAATGAGATGAGGATGAGATGAAGATTAAGATGAGGATGATGAGGATGAGATGAGGATGAGATAAGGATGAGGATGAGGATGAGGATGAGGATGAGGATGAGGATGAGGATGAAGAGGAGTACGGGAATGGTGGGGAGGATGAGGGGGAGGGGGAGGATGAGGATGAGATGAGGATGAGGACAGGGAGGATGAGGAGGGAGATGTGGGGAGGATGAGATGAGGATGAGGATGAAGATGAGGATGAGGATGAGATGAGGATGATGAGGATGAAGATGAGATGAAGATGAGGAGAATGAGATGAGGATGAGATGAGGATGAAGATGAGATGAAGATGAGATGAGGATGAGGATGAGATGAGGATGAGAATGAGGATGAAGATGAGATGAGGATGATGAGGATGAAGATGAGATGAATATGAGGAGAATGAGATGAGGATGAGATGAGGATGAGGATGAAGATGAGGATGAGATGAGGATGAAGATGAGATGAAGAGATGAGGATGAGGAGAATGAGATGAGGATGAGGATGAGGATGAGGATGAGGATGAGGATGAGGATGAGGATGAGGATGAGATGAGGATGAGGATGAGATGAGATGAAGATGAGATGAGGATGAGAATGAGGATGAAGATGAGATGAGGATGGAGATGAGAATGAGATGATGAGGATGAGATGAAAATGAGGATAAGATGATGATGAGGATGGGGAGGAAGCAGCGTCCCGGCGCTCACCGGCGCCATCTCCTGCCCGCAGAGCGGCGATGACGAGGAGTACCGGCGCATCTACACCACCAAAATCAAACCGCGGCTCCGGTCCGAGGAGGGGCCGGACGCCGAGGCCGGGGGGACGCAGAGCAGAACCATCACCGTCACCCGCAAGGTCACCGCCTACACCGTGGACGTCACCAGCCACGACGGCGACCTCGGCGTCATCGGGGGCCCCGAATTCAACGTCCGCGTCCCCATGCCGGAGCTCGGGGTGACGTCCGGGACACCCGAGGGGCTTCACCTGCGGACGGAGCCCCAGAGCCAAATTCCTGCTGGAGAAACTGGAAAATCCCTCCCGGGCTGGAAGGGCTCCGGTGCCTTCGCGGGGTCTCCCCGGATCGAGGCCAACGGACAGTTCGGAGAGCCGGACGGGCGATTCCACGCTCCGTGTGCGCAGGGAGAGCTCGCGGGCTCCTCGCCACCGCTGGACGTGGGGAAAATCAAAATCCCGGCGTTAAAAATCCCCAAATTCGGGTTCCAGGCTGGCGGAGAAGCTCCGGCCCCGCAGGCGGGCGGCGGGACGGACGTCACCCGCTCGTCCCCACCGGACGTTCCGTCCCCGGTGCCGCGGGTGGACGTGGCGGTCAAAGGCGCCACCGAGGCTCCGCCGGACGTCGCCGGCGTGGAGCTCCCGGCCCTGGACGGCGCCAAGGGGAAAATCCAAATCCCGCACGTGACCTTCCCCAAATTCACCGCCCAGGGGGACGGCGCCGCCGCGGAGGTCCCCAAGGGGGTGGCCGTCCCCGAGGTGGCCCTGGAAGGAGAATGGAAAGGCCCCACCTTCAAGAAGGTGGAAACGCCCCAAATTTCGCTGTCGGACGTGAACCTGAACCTGAGGGGCCCCAGGGTGGAAGGGGACCTGAAAGGACTCGGCCCCAAGGGGCTCCAGGTGGACGTGAAGGGTCCGGAGGTGGCAGTGGCCGGTCCAGGGAGTGGCCTGAAGGGCGTGGAGATGGACGTTGGCGTGAAGGGGTTGAAGGGAGGAGTGGACGTGTCCCTGCCGACCGTGGGCGGTGAATTGAGGGGGCCCCAACTGGACCTTAAAGGGCCCCAAATTGGGGTGGAGGGGCCTGGAGTGGACATCAGGGGCCCCACGGTGAAGATGCCCGAGATGAGCATCAAGACCCCTCAGATCTCCGTGCCCGATGTCGACCTCAAAGGGCCGGGAGTGAAGGGAAATCTGGATGTTTCTGCCCCAAAACTGGAAGGGGAGCTGAAGACCCCAGGACTGGACATCAAAGGCCCCAAAGTCGAGGTTGGGAGCCCAGAAATGGAGATCCAAGGACCCGAGGGGAAACTGAAGTTCCCCAAGCTGAAAATGCCCAAATTTGGGGTGAAAGGAGAGACCCCCAGCGTCGACGTGACCCTTCCCAAAGCGGGGGTGGACATCTCCGGCCCCAAGGTGGACGTCAGCGTCCCGAACGTGGACATCAAAGGCCCCAGAGTGGACATTGAAGCACCTGAAATGGACATTCAGGGCCCCGAGGGAAAATTCAAGATGCCCAAGTTCAAGATGCCCAAATTCGGGATGCCCGGGGTCAAGGCGGAAGGTCCCGAGGTGGACGTGAACCTCCCGAAAGGCGGCGTGGAGGTGTCCGGCCCCAAGGTGGACATTGAGGCACCGAATTTGGACATCCAGGGGCCCGAAATGCACCTCAAGGCCCCCAAAATCTCTGTGCCGGACGCTGACCTGACCCTGAACGGCGCCAAGGCCAGCGGCGACCTGGACGTGTCCGTGCCGGGTTTGAAGGGCCCAGGGCTGGACATCAAAGGCCCCAAAGTCGAGGTGGAAGCGCCGGATTTGGACCTCCAAGGACCCGAGGGGAAACTGAAGTTCCCCAAGCTGAAAATGCCCAAATTTGGGGTGAAAGGAGAAAGCCCCGACCTCGAGGTGGCCCTTCCCAAGGGCAGAGTGGACGTTTCGGGTCCCGGCGTCGCCGTCGAGGTCCCTGGTGTGGACCTGAAGGGCCCCAAGGTGAAGGTGCCCGAGGTGGGCATCAAAACCCCCCAGATCTCCATGCCTGACATCGACCTGAACCTCAAAGGACCCAAAGTCAAGGCAGATTTGGATGTTTCCACCCCAAAACTGGAAGGGGAGCTGAAAACCCCCGGGCTGGACATCAAAGGCCCCAAAGTCGAGGTGGAAGCGCCGGATTTGGACCTCCAAGGACCCGAGGGGAAACTGAAGTTCCCCAAGCTGAAAATGCCCAAATTTGGGGTGAAAGGAGAGACCCCCGACCTGGAGGTGACGCTCCCGAAGGGGGAGATGGACATTTCCGCCCCCAGGGTGGACGTGGATGTCCCGAGCGTGGACGTGGAGGGGCCGGAGGTGAAAGGGAAAGGCCTCAAGTTCAAAATGCCCGAACTCAACGTTCAGACCCCAAAACTCTCCATGCCAGACGTGGATCTGGGCTTGAAGGGCCCAAAACTGAAAGGAGATGCTGGAATTTCTGGGCTGAAGGGCCCCAAAATTGACGTGAAAGGCCCCAAAATGGACGTGGAAGGTGCCAAAATCGATGTGGAAGGTCCCAAAATTGACGTGAAAGGTCCCAAGTTGGACGTGGAAGGTCCCAAGTTGGACGTGGAAGGTCCCAAGTTGGACGTGGACGTGCCAGAGGTGGACTTGGAATGCCCCGAAGGGAAGGTGAAAGGCCCCAAATTCAAGATGCCGAAACTCAACATCAAATCCCCCAAAATCTCGATGCCGGACGTGGATTTGAACCTGAAGGGACACAAAGTGAAGGGAGAGGTGGACGTGTCCCTCCCCAAGGTGGAAGGGGACATCAAGGGGCCGAAGGTGGACGTGGAGGTCCCGGATGTCCACCTGGAGGGTCCAGAGGCCAAACTGAAAATGCCCAAAATGAAATTACCTCATTTCAACGTGTCCGGCCCCAAACTGGAGGGGCCTGAGGTGGAGGTGACCCTGCCCAAAGGAGAGGTGGACATCTCTGGGCCGGAGGTGGACATTGAGGGACCGGAAGTGGACGTTGGAGGAGCGGAAGGGAAATGGAAAGGTCCCAAATTCCGGATGCCAAAACTCAACATCAAATCCCCCAAAATCTCCATGCCGGACGTGGACCTGAACCTGAAGGGCCCCAAGGTCAAGGGGGACATCGATGTTTCTGCTCCAAAGCTGGAAGGTGACCTGAAGGGTCCTGAACTGGATATCAAAGGGCCAAAAGTGGACATTGAGGTGCCCGACGTGGATTTGGAGTGTCCCGAGGGGAAGATCAAAGGCCCCAAGTTCAAGATGCCCGAGATGCACATCAAGACCCAGAAGATCTCCATGCCTGATGTGGACATCAACCTGAAGGGCCCCAAGGTCAAGGGTGACGTGGACGTGTCCCTCCCAAAGCTGGAGGGTGACCTGAAGGGTCCTGAACTGGACATCAAAGGCCCCAAAGTGGACATTGAGGCACCCGACGTCGACATCCACGGCCCTGAGGGAAAATTCAAGATGCCCAAGTTCAAGATGCCCAAATTTGGGTTGAAGGGAGAAGGTCCCGAGGTGGACGTGAACCTCCCAAAAGGAGACCTGGATGTGTCCGGCCCCAAGGTGGACGTTGAGATGCCGAGTGTGGACATTGAGGGTCCAGAGGGGAAGATCAAAGGCCCCAAGTTCAAGATGCCCGAGATGAACATCAAAGCCCCCAAGATCTCCATGCCCGACATTGATTTGAATCTAAAGGGCCCCAAGGTGAAAGGAGAAGTTGATGTCTCTGTCCCAAAGCTGGAGGGTGACCTGAAGGGTCCCAAAATTGACCTCAAGGGCCCCAAACTGGACATTGAGGCACCCGATGTCGACATCCACGGCCCTGAGGGAAAATTCAAGATGCCCAAGTTCAAGATGCCCAAATTTGGGTTGAAGGGAGAAGGTCCTGAGGTGGATGTGAACCTCCCGACAGGAAACCTGGATGTGTCCGGCCCCAAGGTGGACGTTGAAGGTCCAGAGGTGGACGTGGAGCTGCCAGAGGGGAAGATCAAAGGCCCCAAGTTCAAGATGCCCGAGATGAACATCAAAGCCCCCAAGATCTCCATGCCCGACGTCGACTTCAACCTGAAGGGCCCCAAGGTGAAGGGGGACATCGATGTCTCTGTCCCCAAGCTGGAGGGTGACCTGAAGGGTCCTGAACTGGACATCAAAGGCCCCAAAGTGGACATTGAGGCACCCGATGTTGACATCCACGGCCCTGAGGGAAAATTCAAGATGCCCAAGTTCAAGATGCCCAAATTTGGGATGCCCGGGGTCAAGGCAGAAGGTCCCGAGGTGGACGTGAACCTCCCAACGGGAAACCTGGATGTGTCCGGCCCCAAGGTGGACATTGAAGGTCCAGAGGTGGACGTGGAGCTGCCAGAGGGGAAAGTGAAAGGCCCCAAGTTCAAGATGCCCGAGATGCATTTTAAGACCCCCAAGATCTCCATGCCTGACATCGACCTGAACCTGAAGGGCCCCAAAGTGAAGGGAGACATCGATGTCTCTGTCCCCAAGCTGGAGGGTGACCTGAAGGGTCCTGAACTGGACATCAAAGGCCCCAAAGTGGACATTGAGGCACCCGACGTCGACATCCACGGCCCTGAGGGAAAATTCAAGATGCCCAAGTTCAAGATGCCCAAATTTGGGTTGAAGGGAGAAGGTCCTGAGGTGGACGTGAACCTCCCAAAAGGAGACCTGGATGTGTCCGCCCCCAAGGTGGACGTTGAGATGCCGAGTGTGGACATTGAGGGTCCCGAGGGGAAGATCAAAGGCCCCAAGTTCAAGATGCCCGAGATGAACATCAAGGCCCCCAAGATCTCCATGCCCGACATCGACCTGAACCTCAAAGGTCCCAAGGTCAAGGGGGGTGTGGACGTCTCCGTCCCCAAATTGGAGGGCGACCTGAAATGTCCGGATGTGAAAATTAAAGGTCCGAAGGTGGATGTGGACGTTCCTGACGTGGACGTTGAAGGTCCTGAGGGAAAGTGGAAGGGACCCAAGATCAAGATGCCAGAGATGAACATCAAGGCGCCGAAATTTTCTCTGCCTGATGTCGACCTGAACCTGAAAGGTCCCAAACTGAAGGGAGATGTGGCTGTGTCTGCCCCAAAAGTAGAAGGTGACGTGAAAGTGCCGGATCTGGAGTTGAAAGGACCCAAAGTGGACGTGGACGTCCCCAACATCGAACTGGAGGGCCCCGAGGGGAAGATCAAAGGCCCCAAGTTCAAGATGCCCGAGATGAACATCAAGGCCCCCAAGATCTCCATGCCCGACTTTGATCTGAACCTGAAAGGCCCCAAAGTGAAAGGAGACGTGGACGTGGCCGTCCCGAAAATCGAGGGAGATTTTAAGGCCCCAGACGTCGATATCAAAGGCCCCAAAGTCAACGTGGACCTCCCCGATGTAGACCTGGAGTGCCCCGAAGCGAAGCTGAAGGGCCCCAAGTTCAAGATGCCCGAGATGCACTTCAAAACCCCCAAGATCTCCATGCCCGACATTGACCTGAACCTCAGAGGCCCAAAACTGAAGGGGGATGTGGACATTTCCACCCCCAAGCTGGAAGGTGACCTGACGGGCCCAGACGTGGACATCAAAGGTCCCAAACTGGACATCAAAGCACCTGACGTGGACATTGACCTCCCAGAGGGGAAGATCAAGGGTCCCAAGTTCAAGATGCCTGAGATGAACATCAAGGCCCCCAAGATCTCCATGCCCGATTTCGATCTCAACCTGAAAGGCCCCAAAGTGAAGGGCGACGTCGATGTGTCCCTGCCCAAGCTCGAAGGGGACCTGAAAGGGCCAGAGGTGTCACTGAAAGGACCAAAAGTGGACGTAGAAGTTCCTGACGTGGAGCTGGAGTGTCCCGAGGGGAAGATCAAAGGCCCCAAGTTCAAGATGCCCGAGATGAACATCAAAGCCCCCAAGATCTCCATGCCTGATTTCGATCTCAACCTAAAAGGCCCCAAATTGAAGGGGGACATCGATGTCTCTGTCCCCAAGCTGGAAGGTGACCTGAAGGGACCTGAACTGGACATCAAAGGCCCCAAAGTCGATGTCGACCTTCCTGACGTTGAGCTGGAGTGTCCTGAGGCGAAACTGAAGGGCCCCAAGTTCAAGATGCCCGAGATGCACATCAAAGCCCCCAAGATCTCCATGCCCGACTTTGATCTGAACCTCAAAGGCCCCAAATTGAAGGGGGACATCGATGTCTCTGCTCCAAAGCTCGAGGGTGACCTCAAAGCCCCAGACATCGACATCAAAGGCCCCAAAGTCAATGTTGATCTCCCCGACGTTGAGTTGGAGTGTCCAGAGGGGAAGATCAAAGGTCCCAAGTTCAAGATGCCCGAGATGCACATCAAGGCCCCCAAGATCTCCATGCCTGATTTCGATCTCAACCTGAAGGGCCCCAAGGTGAAGGGGGACATCGATGTCTCTGTCCCCAAGCTGGAGGGTGACCTGAAGGGTCCAGAACTGGACATCAAAGGCCCCAAAGTGGACATTGAGGCACCCGACGTCGACATCCACGGCCCTGAGGGAAAATTCAAGATGCCCAAGATCAAGATGCCCAAATTTGGGTTGAAGGGAGAAGGTCCCGAGGTGGACGTGAACCTCCCAAAAGGAGACCTGGATGTGTCCGGCCCCAAGGTGGACGTTGAGATGCCGAGTGTGGACATTGAGGGCCCCGAGGGGAAGATCAAAGGCCCCAAGTTCAAGATGCCCGAGATGCATTTTAAGACCCCCAAGATCTCCATGCCCGACATCGACCTGAACCTGAAGGGCCCCAAGGTCAAGGGAGATGTCGATGTTTCTGTCCCCAAGCTGGAAGGTGACCTGAAGGGACCTGAACTGGACATCCAGGGCCCCAAGGTCAATGTGGACCTCCCTGATGTGGAGCTGGAGTGTCCTGAGGGGAAGATCAAAGGTCCCAAGTTCAAGATGCCCGAGATGCATTTTAAGACCCCCAAGATCTCCATGCCCGACATCGACCTGAACCTGAAGGGCCCCAAGGTCAAGGGAGATGTCGATGTTTCTGGCCCCAAGCTGGAAGGTGACCTGAAGGGTCCTGAACTGGACATCAAAGGCCCCAAAGTGGACATTGAGGCACCGGATGTCGATATTCATGGCCCAGAAGGGAAAATAAAGTTCCCCAAGTTCAAGATGCCCAAATTTGGGCTGAAGGGAGAAGGTCCCGAGGTGGACGTGAACCTCCCAACGGGAAACCTGGATGTGTCCGGCCCCAAGGGGGACATTGAAGGTCCAGAGGTGGGCATTGAAGGTCCCGAGGGGAAGATCAAGGGTCCCAAGATCAAGACGCCCGAGATGAACATTGAACCTCAAAGGCCCCAAATTGAAGGGGGACATCGATGTCTCTACTCCAAAGCTCGAGGGTGACCTCAAAGCCCCAGACATCGACATCAAAGTCCCCAAAGTCAATGTGGATCTCCCTGATGTGGACATTGAAGGTCCCGAGGGGAAGATCAAGGGTCCCAAGTTCAAGATGCCCGAGATGAACATCAAGGCCCCCAAGTTCTCCATGCCCGACGTCGACTTCAGCCTGAAGGGCCCCAAGGTGAAGGGGGACATCGATGTCTCTGTCCCCAAGCTGGAGGGTGACCTGAAGGGTCCTGAACTGGACATCAAAGGCCCCAAAGTGGACATTGAGGCACCCGATGTCGACATCCACGGCCCAGAAGGGAAAATAAAATTCCCCAAGTTCAAGATGCCCAAATTTGGGATGCCCGGGGTCAAGGCAGAAGGTCCCGAGGTGGACGTGAACCTCCCAACAGGAGACCTGGATGTGTCCGGCCCCAAGGTGGACATTGAAGGTCCAGAGGTGGACATTGAAGGTCCCGAGGGGAAGATCAAAGGCCCCAAGTTCAAGATGCCCGAGATGCACATCAAGGCCCCCAAGATCTCCATGCCCGACGTTGACTTCAACCTCAAAGGCCCCAAATTGAAGGGGGACATCGATGTCTCTGCTCCAAAGCTTGAGGGTGACCTCAAAGCCCCAGACATTGACATCAAAGTTCCCAAAGTCAATGTGGACCTCCCTGACGTTGAGTTGGAAGGTCCCGAGGGGAAGATCAAAGGTCCCAAGTTCAAGATGCCCGAGATGAACATCAAGGCTCCCAAGATCTCCATGCCCGACGTCGACTTCAACCTGAAGGGCCCCAAGGTGAAGGGGGACATCGATGTCTCTGTCCCCAAGCTGGAGGGTGACCTGAAGGGTCCTGAACTGGACATCAAAGGCCCCAAAGTGGACATTGAGGCACCCGATGTTGACATCCACGGCCCGGAAGGGAAAATTAAAATGCCCAAATTCAAGATGCCCAAATTTGGATTTTCTGGGCCCAAAGTTGAAGGCCCCGAGGTGGACCTGAACCTTCCAGAGGCTGAGGTCAACATTTCAGGTCCCAAGGTCGACGTTTCCATCCCCGACCTGGACATCGAAGGCCCCGATGGGAAACTGAAGGGTCCCAAGTTCAAGAAGCCGGAGCTGCAGTTCAATGTCCCCAAGATCTCCATGCCCGACATTGACCTCAACCTGAAAGGCCCCAAACTGAAAGGTGACCTCGATGCTTCTCTTCCCAAGGTCGAGGGCGAGCTGAAAGGCCCCAAACTGGACATCAAGGGGCCGGAGATTGAGCTGGAGGGGCCAAAAGTTGACCTTGAAGGAAAAGCTAAAAAATCCAGGTTCAAACTTCCCAAGTTTGGCTTTTCTGGCCCAAAAGTTCAAAGCCCTGAGGTGGATGTGAAGCTTAAAAAACCTGAGGTTGAAGTGTCCGGCCCCAAAGTTGAGGTCCAGGCTCCGGATTTGGACATCCAGGGAAAATCCAAGGGCTCCAAATTCAAAATGCCTTTTCTGAACATTTCTTCACCCAAAGTCTCGATGCCGGACGTGGAGCTGAACCTGAAGGGACACAAAATGAAAGGGGAGTTTGACCTGTCCACCCCCAAGCTGGAAGGGGAACTGAAAGGTCCTGAGGTGGACATCAAGGGCCCCAAGGTCAACATCGAGGCCCCCGACGTGGACATTCATGGCCCAGAGGGGAAAATCAAAATGCCCAAGTTCAAAATGCCCAAATTTGGTGTTTCTGGGTTTAAAGGGGAGGGGCCAGAGGTGGACGTGAACCTGCCGACAGCAGAACTGGACGTGTCAGGTCCGAAGGTGGACATTGAAGATCCAGAGGTGGACATTGAGGGTCCGGAGGGGAAGATCAAAGGCCCCAAGTTCAAGATGCCCGAGATGCACATCAAGGCCCCCAAGATCTCCATGCCGGACATCGACCTGAACCTCAAAGGTCCCAAAGTGAAGGGAGACGTGGACGTGTCCTTGCCCCAGGTGGACCTGAAAGGACCCCAGGTGGATGTGGAAGCTCCCGAACTCAACGTCGAAGGTCCGAAAGGGAAAATCAAGGGCCCCAAATTTAAAATGCCCGAAATGAACATCAAAGCTCCCAACATCTCCATGCCGGACCTGGACCTCAACCTGAAAGGTCCCAAGGTCAAAGGGGGCGTGGACGTCGATATGTCTGCACCAAAAATTGAAGGGGACGTGAGCTTGCCGGACATCGACATCAAAGGCCCCAAGGTGGACATTGAAGGTCCAGAGCTGGACATTGAAGGTCCAGAAGGGAAGATCAAAGGCCCCAAGTTCAAGATGCCCGAGATGAACATCAAGGCCCCCAAGATCTCCATGCCTGACGTCGACTTCAACCTGAAGGGCCCCAAGGTGAAGGGGGACATCGATGTCTCTGTCCCCAAGCTGGAGGGTGACCTGAAGGGTCCTGAACTGGACATCAAAGGCCCCAGAGTGGACATTGAGGCACCCGATGTCGACATCCACGGCCCTGAGGGAAAATTCAAGATGCCCAAGTTCAAGATGCCCAAATTTGGGTTGAAGGGAGAAGGTCCCGAGGTGGACGTGAACCTCCCAAAAGGAGACCTGGATGTGTCCGGCCCCAAGGTGGACGTTGAGATGCCGAGTGTGGACATTGAGGGTCCAGAAGGGAAGATCAAAGGCCCCAAGTTCAAGATGCCCGAGATGAACATCAAAGCCCCCAAGATCTCCATGCCCGACATTGACCTGAACCTCAAAGGCCCCAAATTGAAGGGAGATGTTGATGTTTCCCTTCCCAAAGTGGAAGGTGACCTGAAGGGTCCTGAACTGGACATCAAAGGCCCCAAAGTCAATGTGGACCTCCCTGATGTGGAGCTGGAGTGTCCCGAGGGGAAGATCAAAGGCCCCAAGTTTAAGATGCCCGAGATGAACATCAAGGCCCCCAAGATCTCCATGCCCGACTTTGATCTGAACCTGAAAGGTCCCAAGGTGAAGGGCGACGTCGATGTGTCCCTGCCGAGTGTGGAAGGTGACCTGAAAGGGCCAAAGGTGGATGGGAAAGGCCCCGAGTTTGATGTTTCTGCCCCAGATGTTCAAATTGAGGGCCCTGAAGGGAAGATCAAAGGCCCCAAGTTCAAGATGCCCGAGATGAACATCAAAGCCCCCAAGATCTCCATGCCTGATTTCGATCTCAACCTAAAAGGCCCCAAATTGAAGGGGGACATCAATGTCTCTGTCCCCAAGCTGGAAGGTGACCTGAAGGGACCTGAACTGGACATCAAAGGCCCCAAAGTCGATGTCGACCTTCCTGACGTTGAGCTGGAGTGTCCTGAGGCGAAACTGAAGGGCCCCAAGTTCAAGATGCCCGAGATGCACATCAAGGCCCCCAAGATCTCCATGCCCGACTTTGATCTGAACCTGAAGGGCCCCAAGGTGAAGGGGGACATCGATGTCTCTGTCCCCAAGCTGGAGGGTGACCTGAAGGGTCCTGAACTGGACATCAAAGGCCCCAAAGTGGACATTGAGGCACCCGATGTTGACATCCACGGCCCTGAGGGAAAATTCAAGATGCCCAAGTTCAAGATGCCCAAATTTGGGATGCCCGGGGTCAAGGCAGAAGGTCCCGAGGTGGACGTGAACCTCCCAACGGGAAACCTGGATGTGTCCGGCCCCAAGGTGGACATTGAAGGTCCAGAGGTGGACGTGGAGCTGCCAGAGGGGAAAGTGAAAGGCCCCAAGTTCAAGATGCCCGAGATGCATTTTAAGACCCCCAAAATCTCCATGCCTGACATTGACCTGAACCTGAAGGGCCCCAAAGTGAAGGGGGACATCGATGTCTCTGTCCCCAAGCTGGAAGGTGACCTGAAGGGTCCTGAACTGGACATCAAAGGCCCCAAAGTGGACATTGAGGCACCCGACGTCGACATCCACGGCCCTGAGGGAAAATTCAAGATGCCCAAGTTCAAGATGCCCAAATTTGGGTTGAAGGGAGAAGGTCCCGAGGTGGACGTGAACCTCCCAAAAGGAGACCTGGATGTGTCCGGCCCCAAGGTGGACGTTGAGATGCCGAGTGTGGACATTGAGGGTCCAGAGGGGAAGATCAAAGGCCCCAAGTTTAAGATGCCCGAGATGAACATCAAAGCCCCCAAGATCTCCATGCCCGACATTGATTTGAATCTAAAGGGCCCCAAGGTGAAAGGAGAAGTTGATGTCTCTGTCCCAAAGCTGGAAGGTGACCTGAAGGGTCCTGAACTGGACATCAAAGGCCCCAAAGTGGACATTGAGGCACCCGATGTTGACATCCACGGCCCTGAGGGAAAATTCAAGATGCCCAAGTTCAAGATGCCCAAATTTGGGTTGAAGGGAGAAGGTCCCGAGGTGGATGTGAACCTCCCAACAGGAAACTTGGATGTGTCCGGCCCCAAGGTGGACGTTGAAGGTCCAGAGCTGGACATTGAGGGTCCTGAAGGAAAACTGAAAGGCCCCAAGTTCAAGATGCCCGAGATGCACATCAAGGCCCCCAAGATCTCCATGCCCGACCTCGACCTGAACCTGAAGGGCCCCAAAGTCAAAGGTGACGTGGACGTGTCCCTGCCCAGCGTGGAAGGAGAGCTGAAAGGTCCCGAGGTCAACGTCACCGTCCCCGACGTCACCATCGACAGCCCTGAGGGCAAATTCAAACTGCCCAAGTTCAAGATGCCCAAATTCTCCATGCCTGGCTTCAAAGGGGATGGGGTGGACGTGGACCTGACCCTCCCCAAGGGTGACGTGGCCGTTTCGGGCCCCAGCGTGGACGTGGAAGCTCCTGAGCTGAGCGTGGACGGGAAAGTCAAAGGTCCCAAATTCTCCATGCCCGAGATGAACATCAAAGCCCCCAAGATCTCCATGCCCGACGTTGACTTCAACCTCAAAGGCCCCAAATTGAAGGGGGACATCGATGTCTCTGCTCCAAAGCTCGAGGGTGACCTCAAAGCCCCAGACATCGACATCAAAGGCCCCAAAGTCAATGTTGATCTCCCCGACGTTGAGTTGGAGTGTCCAGAGGGGAAGATCAAGGGTCCCAAGTTCAAGATGCCCGAGATGAACATCAAGGCCCCCAAGTTTTCCATGCCCGACGTCGACTTCAACCTGAAGGGCCCCAAGGTCAAGGGTGACGTGGACGTGTCACTTCCAAAGCTGGAGGGTGACCTGAAGGGTCCTGAACTGGACATCAAAGGCCCCAAAGTGGACATTGAGGCACCCGATGTCGACATCCACGGCCCTGAGGGAAAATTCAAGATGCCCAAGTTCAAGATGCCCAAATTTGGGTTGAAGGGAGAAGGTCCCGAGGTGGACGTGAACCTCCCAAAAGGAGACCTGGATGTGTCCGGCCCCAAGGTGGACGTTGAGATGCCGAGTGTGGACATTGAGGGTCCCGAGGGGAAGATCAAAGGTCCCAAGTTCAAGATGCCCGAGATGCACATCAAGGCCCCCAAGATCTCCATGCCCGACGTCGACTTCAACCTGAAGGGCCCCAAGGTGAAGGGGGACATCGATGTCTCTGTCCCCAAGCTGGAGGGGAACCTGCAGTGCCCTGATGTCGACCTCAAGGGCCCCAGAGTGGACATTCAGGCACCGGATGTGACCCTGGAGGGGCCGAAGGTGAAGATGCCTGAAATTCACATCAAGACCCCCCAGATCTCCATGCCCGACATCGACCTGAACCTGAAGGGCCTGAAGGTCAAAGGTGACGCTGACCTGCAGGGCCCCAAGCTCGAGGGGGGTCTGAAGGGCCCCGAGGTCGATATCAAAGGCCCCAAAGTGGACATCGAGTGCCCAGCGGTCAACGTCGATGGTCCCGAGGGGAAAGTGAAGCTGCCCAAAATGAAAATGCCCAAATTTGGCTTTAAAGGGGAAGGTCCCAACGTGGATGTGAACTTGCCGAAGGCTGAGGTCGATCTTTCCGGCCCCAAGGTTGATCTTGGCCTGCCAGAGGTCAACGTTGAAGGTCTGGAGGGCAAAGTCAAAGGTCCTAAACTGAAAATGCCCGAAATGCACATGAACGTCCCCAAAATCTCCATGCCCGAGATAGACTTGAACTTGAAAGGCCACAAAACCAAGGGCGGCTTCGACATTTCCACCCCGAAGGTTGAAGGTCACCTGAAAGGGCCCGAGGTTGACCTCAAAGGCCCAGAATTTGGCATCAGAGGTCCCGAAGTCGACGTCGAATGTCCCGACCTGAGCGTTGAGGGCCCGGAGGCCAACGTCAAAGTTCCCAAGTTTAAAAAGTCCAAATTTGGGTTCGGGATGAAAAGCCCCAAGGCCGAGGTGGATTTACCCGAGGGGGAGCTGAACATGGAGTCACCTGAGGTCCACCTGTCCGGGAAGGGGAAGAAAAGCAAGTTCAAGATGCCCAAAATCCACATGAGCGGCCCCAAAGTGAAGGGGAAGAAAGGGGCGTTCGACGTCAACGCGGCGGGGGCCGAGCTGGACGCGGAGCTCAACGTCACCGGCCCCGACGTCACCGTCAGGGGCGACGCCGCCGTGAAGTCCCCCAAAGGCAAGAAACCCATGTTTGGGAAGATCTCCTTCCCAGACGTCGAATTCGACCTCAAATCGCACAAATTCCGCGGCGAGGCCTCGGCGGGGGTCCCCAAAGTTGAGGGTGAGCTGGAGGTCAAGGGCCCGAGTCTCAACGTGGACGTGGAAGGTCCCGATGTCAACCTGAAAAGCCCAAAATTCAAACTCCCCGGGGTCCAGGTGGGCGCGGGGGACGTGAAGGTCGGGGGTGACCTGAAGGGCCCCGGGATCGACGTCGCCGTCCCCTCGCTGGCGGCGCCAGACGTCGACATCGGCGTGAAAGGACCAAAAGTAAAAGGCGAGGTCGGCGCTGCCGGAGCACAACTGGAAGGTCCCGAGGGGAAACTGGGATGGCCCAAGGGGGGGAAAATGGGTTTGGGGCTGGAGATGCCGGACGTGAGCTCGGACGTGGATGTGAAGCTCAAAGGGCCTGAGTTGGAGGGGAACCTGCAAGGACCAAAATTAAAAGGAGATTTGGACATTTTGGGCTCCGTGGAAGGGCCCGGTGTTACCCTGGACGCACCCGGCCTGGACCTCGGTGGCCTGGGGGGGAAGGTGAAGCTGCCCACGGTGAAGTCCCCAACGCTGGAGGTCAAGGGGGGCGTCCCCTGCTCCGTCCAGTCCCCGGGGGCCACCCTGGACCTCAAGGGGCCCTCACTGGACGTCTCCGGGCCGGATTTGGATGTCAACCTGAAAGGACCAAAGTTGAAAGGAGACGTCGGCGTCAAATCCCCGCAAGCGTCGGCAGACGATGCCGGCTTCGAAATTTTGGGGGGCACCATCAAACTCCCGTCCCTGAAGCTGCCCCAGTTCAGCATCTCCGGCCCCAGCGTGGAGGGAGGGGACGCGGGGGTCACTCTGGAAGGTTCCCAGGTCAAGGCGGGGCTGAAGGGCTCCGGTTTGGGGCTGGAAGGTCCCGAGGTGGAACTGAAAGGGCCGAAATTCTCCGCGCCGGACGTCGACCTGAGGCGGAAAGGACCAAACGTCGACGTGGCCGGCGACGTCAAAGGGTCAAAGGTCAGCGTGGAAGCTCCTCACGGAGGGCTGGGCGTCCACCTGGAGGCTCCGGCTCTGGAAGCGTCCGGCTCGGGATTGAACGTCAACGTGAAAGGGCCAAAGGTCAAAGGCGCAGCCGAGGTGACGCCGCCGTCGGTCAGCGCCGGTTCCGGAACCTTCCACGCCTCCTGCCCCAAGGTGGGCGCCGAGGGCGGCCAGGTCAAGGTGTCCTTCCCCAAGCTGCGGATGCCGAAATTCGTCTTCTCCGAGCCCGAGGCCAAGGGCCGTGAGGTCGGGGTGGACGTCGACTTCCCCGGCGCCGACGTGGCCGAGCAGGAGCCGGACGAGGCCGAGGCGAGGCTGAAGAAATCCAAGCTCAAGATGCCCAAATTCAACTTCTCCAAGCAGAAGGGGCGCGGCAGCGGCGGCGCCCCGGGGTCCCCCGAGGCCTTGGGCTCCATGTCCGGCTCCAAGGGCGACCTGAAGAGCTCCAAGGTGAGTCTGGGCTCGGCCGAGGGCGAGCTGGAGGCCGAGGCGCCGGCGGCCAAGGGCAAATTCTCGCTGTTCCGCGGCAAGAAACCGCGGCCGCGCTCGTCGTCCTTCAGCGATGACCACTCGGCCGAGCCGGACGCCGCCAGGCAGCCCAAGAGCAAATTCGGGACCTTCGGGGGCATCGGCTCCAAGGCCAAGGGGTGCTACGAGGTGACGGCCGGCGCCGAGGACGGGGGGCGGGCGCCGGGGTCCCCCAAATCCCGCCCGTCCTCGTCCTCGTCCTGCGAGGGCGTGGCCCGGGGCGGGCTCCGCGTGCCCGGCCTGGAGCTGGCGGTGGCCAAAGGCAAGGAGTGACCGCGGGGGAGGGGTTGTACATAGGCCTGGAGCGAGGGACCCCCCGCGTGTACAGAGAGGGGGAGGGGCTGGGGGTCCCCTCCCCCCACCAAAGATTTTGGGGTCCTCCCCTTGTGCTGAGAGCTTCGTTTTTTTCCCTTCCCAATTTATCCTTTTTTTTTTTTTGGATATTTTTATTGGGGTTTGTTTTTGTCCCCTGTTTTTTTTCTTCCTCCCTCCTCCGCCCCTCCCCTCAAGAAAAAATATTTTCAGTGTTTGGTTCGTGGAAATGAATTTTTATTTTTATTTTTTTTTTTGTATTTTTCCTTCATTTTAACTTTTTTTTTTTGTTTTTTTTTTTTTTTTTTTTTTTTGCGGGGCTGAAGGTTCTGTCGGTTTGGTGGATTTATTCCAAAGTTTGGATTTTTTGGGTTTGTGAAAGAAATGAAACCAAATCCTTGGATCTTTTATTTTTTAAAAAAATTCAATATTATTAAAAAAAAAAAAATCTAAAAAAATTAAATATTATTAAAAAAATATTTTTTAAAATTTAAATAATATTATTAAAAAATAAAAGACCAAAACTGTGGATTTCTAAAAAAAAACCTACCCAAAGCCGTGGATATTTTCGATAAATTGGATATATTAAAATAGAAAGAAAAAAAAAATGGATTTACTAAAAAAATTAAATGAAAAATATGGAATTATTAAAAAAACCTCAAAGTAAAAACGTGGATCGATTAAAAGAAAAATCAAAGTAATTAACACAACAAAAAATTAAATGAACAGCGACAAAATTGGATCAATTAAGAAAATAAACCAAAACTAAAAGGGGATCTATTAAAAAAATAACATTAAATGGGTTTATCCAAAGAAAGAAACCAAAAAAATACGGATTTATTGAGCAGAACAAACCAAAAAATACGAATTAATTACATAAAATAAACCAAAAACACGGATTTACCAATAAAAACAAACCAAACCCGTGGCTTTATTAATAAAAATAAACCAAAACCCGTGGATTTATTAATCCAAACAATCCAAAAGCCACAACTCTGACCTCTGAAACTGAGAAGTGTCCCCAGAGCTTGGAAGATTTTAATCCGTGGCACAAGACCCGGAGATCGAATGACTCCGGGGAGGACGGAACGAGCCCAGAGCCACTCCCGAGGTTTTCCCTGCAGCTTTATTTTCATTTTTTTTTGGTCGTTTTTGCTGTTTTATGGCTGTTTTTTTGTTCTACTTGTTACATTCTTTGTATTATAATTTGATAAAAGCACCCGTTTCTGTCTTGTTTAGCCCCAAAATTCAAAAAAAAGGTGCGTTGGGCATCCGGGATAAAGTTTTGTTTTATGAGGATTTTGGGGAAGTTGAAATGAATTAAATTTTTAAGGAATTTCCCCCCTCCCAGAAAATAGAAACCTGTTCCCTTTGCAGCACTTTAACGGCGAATTAACGGGAGAAAAAACGGTGGAAAACTCAAATAAAACCAAAAATGTTTATTAACCGCGATTTTGCTGCGTTTGGGGTCTTTTTTTAAGGTCAAATTCGGGGTTTGAGGCTCCCTCTGGATTTTGGGGGGTCCCTTTGGGGGGGAGGGGTCACACCAAAACAAATCTGGGCTCCTGTCCCCTCCCCCCACCTCAAATTCCAGCTCCCCACCCCCCACCAAGGCCCCTCCCCCACCTCGGATTTGGTGTCACGGCCCCTCCCC